AAGAGCGATGGCCTCCAGCCTAATAGCAATGGCCTCCAACCCAGGAGCGATGGCCTCCAACCTAGGAGTAGTGGCCTCCAACCTAAGAGCGATGGCCTCCAGCCTAATAGCAATGGCCTCCAACCTAAGAGCGATGGCCTTCATGAGAACCTATGGCAAAATAGTTCTAAAGATTCATAGAGTCATAGAGATTCTAATGGCCTGGAATGGTTCCAGGTCGAATCCAAAACCTTCTACTTGACAGTCCATTGGTCATGAATGGCCTATGGGGCCCCAACATCAAGCCACACGGGGATTTTCATGCCAAAGTTGCACACGCGGCCAAAGGCGGTGGGCCATTGGTCAGTAGCCGTTGCAAGGCAAGCTCTTTGTTGGTCTGGTGCGCTTCCCTGAGTATTTGTCAGACTTGGCTGAGACAAAGCATCTGTGTCGCTGAGGGCTTCGATCGTTTTTCAGAGAACCCAGCATCTTCCCGGATATGCAGATCTTCCTATCTCTTTTCTCTAAGTTCCTCGTCTTCGTGATGCTGCAAAATTGACACGAAGACAAGCTGCTCTTCCCAGCGCTCCAACCCTTTGAAGCCATGATCGCCCCGTCCACCTCCGCCCTGCATCAAAAGAATGCCAGGGAAGATGCCATGGCCTCACAGTGGAGTAGCAATGGAAAGCGAAGCCATACCCTCAGTTCTCTTATTTCCTTCTTGGGTGACTGTGTGGCAATCACAGAAAACGTACCACCTCCAGTGCTTTTTCATACAAAGCTTGAGTTTGATGGCAGTCGTGCCTCGCACATGGATGCGCTGGCGCTCGAAGTGAGCCACCTCCAACAAGGCCACCTCTGAGACCTCTTCCGGGATGCCTTGCCACGCTCAGCCATGCTCAATTGCAATTGGCACCGAGCATTCGAACATACTACTGGTAACAAGGGCATCGCTTCTAGGAGCAAGGACGCTACTAGGGGCTCCTGGCCTTACTACTAGGAGCAAGACGCTCAGCACAGTGGAGCTCTAGGCGATTGACGGTAGGGAGAAACAAAGTAGCTTCTTGTTACTAGTAGTAAGTAAGGCCAGGAGCTTCTAGTAGCATCCTTGCTCCTAGTAGCAATGCCTTTGTTACTACTCTCTTAGGTTTTGACCTGGCCTGCCCCTTACTACTCGCAAGGAATGGTCTGTGACTACTGCAACCAGCATCACCGCGACAACGACTAGTGCTGTGGCTGCTGTTGCTGCTGCCACTGCTACTCCTACTATGACTACTGCGTCTACGTCCTTGTCTTGGAGATCTACAGCAGCACCGTGTCGACGTGTCTCAGCATCGCTATAGTTACCCGCAACTGGACAGCAAGCAGACTGGCAATGTTGATCACTCGAGGCCCCCGGGGGCAAACGAAAGCTAGAGCAATTGGTAAGGGCGTACCGATGATGCTTAACTGCAACGGCCGGCTTAATGTTATCTGATTGATGCTACTACTCACAGAGGTGACTTGACAACTGAGCATCAACGATGCTTAATCATAATAACTCTAACTAGTAATAGCGGCCAACTGAACGTTATCTTGTCTTGACGAATTGTGGAAGGGAGTCAGTTGGCGGCGTTTCAGTGATAGTGCCACGTGTTGGCCTCAGGCCCCCCTGCTTTTCTACAGCAAGATAAAACTCGGCTAGCTAACGCCAGCGTTCGTGAACGATCAGCCAGACTCCTTCTGTTGATGTGCCTGAACTACACTTTCCACTGATTGCTTGCTTTGTCACGTGCCTGCTCGGAATCGGATTGTGATTCTCTCCTGCCGACGAGGCGGCTTACGAGGCGGCTGCATGTCAAGCACATGACCCTACCAGTCCTTATCACCAGCCTTGATCTCTCCAGCAATGGGCCAACAGTCAAGAACTGATGGTCTGGACAAAGCACAAAGGTTCCAGCTGTATTGAAACGCCACCTGATCACGGCATCAAAACTCCTGTGTATGTGTTCAGAGCTGCAAAAATGAAGCAGCGCATAAAGCAATCTCACAGCAAGTGCTCCATGTGCCAAGCCTTGCCAGTGTTCACGAGCAGCACTTCCCTCTCCTGAACCTGGTGGATTCGAATTACACCAGCATAGACCCTGGCGTACTTGCCGTTACTCAGCCTCTTTAATCCGCCAACCGACAAGCTCCAGCACACGGCTTCGGAATGCAAAAGAGGTTGCGGAACGCTTTAAAAACCTGGTGCCAAAGGGTCTCTTGGATGCTACTAGGGGCTCCTGGCATCGCTACTACGAGCAAGGACGCTACTAGGGGCTCCTGGCCGTACTACTGGGAACAATGTTTGCTAGTAGGAACAAGAAATAACTTTAAAAACCTGGTGTCAAATCAGTTCAGATGGTTGCAGTGTCCCACGCGACAAGTTGCGAGAACTCTGAGAATTCGAGGATTCCGTTCCAAGATGTTCCAAAGTTCGTATGGCAAAAAAGTGTCGCAAGTTGCGATCAACACCTCCAACTATGAATTACAGCATGGTGAAAAATAACATTCCATGTTCCAACCTGTCTGGACCTGTCTTAAGAGTGAAGCAGGAAAGAAGAAAACTGAAAAGCAAATGTTGAAAACCAAGCAAAGTCTGAAAGATCTAAGAATTGAAAAAGGCATAGAAGGACAAATCACAGGAAGAACAGGATCCAAGGTCAGGATTTCTGGTGGTGGGAAGCTGGGAAAACTGCCTCCCCCGGTCGGTGCCTCGGTGTAGGGCACTTCACCGAAGTCCAGCTCCGTCTTGTCCAGTACAAAGTCGAGCTTCGAGGCCTGGCCCTTGAGCGCCACCTCATACCTCACTTATGGAAGTCATGAAGTAGATTTTTAGGCAAGCTTAACATTAGAAGAGAGGAAAAGCAATACCCGCTTTCTCTCGATGCTGAGTCATACAAGTCATACTGTCACACCAGAACACACAAATTTCAACTTCTTACAGACCTGCTTTGGGAATTTTGAGTGATAGACCTATATGAGCCTGCGATCTTGACTGGAAAAAAGGCAAGCGACTCGGGGCCACCTTCGGTTTGACACACAGCTGCGACATCGAACTTCTGATTCTTCATTCCAAAGTATGTGAAGGTAATGTCCTGACGACTCATCTTGCCAGGGACTGCACTACAGTCTAGAGAAAAAAAAAAAAGTTTGAACAAGCAGACTCCACTTCTCCCATGACTCAAGCTGCCGCGTGCTCTCCGTCCTGCGTACATCCCGGCTCCAGAATGCCCATAATGGGCAGGATGTCAAAGATCTGATTAATGTCCTTGGACCCAACTTGCACAGGTGAGCTCGGATCTCACCCGAAACACACTTTGGGAGGCAGGGAGCCTTCCAATCATCAAAACAGTTTGGAAGGAAGAAGCATCTGAAGCCAAGCATCTACCACGGGACGCCGTGACTTTGTTGTGGGCGCGTGGCTGACAACAGACGTCCGCTTTTCGAAGTGCTCAATAGTCCTGAGCTGAGGAAGGGTGAAAAAAAACAAACCGCTTAGTTGCCTAATGTCAGGCGAGCACACAGTTTCGTTGCAAGCCTTTGGACCCTGGACCTTGACCTACCAAGACCGAACGATGCAAACGACGCATATGTCAAGGCGCTCCGAGGGTGGTGCGGAAGGCGTCTGTTTGTGCCCAAATCCTTGCAATTGCGGTGCTTTGTTGCTGCGAGCCCTAGCGCGATGGCCTCCAACCTAGGAGCGGTGGCCTCCAACCTACAAACAGTTCCCGGGCAAGCCGGCGGCGGAAGTTTCCTGTAAGAACAAATTGATCTATAGGAGTGTCCCGGTTCTTTCCACCATGCGTGTCCCTCGCGTCCCTCAGTCAGAGCTGCTAGAGCTAACTGGGGCTAGAGCTATTGAATCTAGAGCCAGCTGAAGCTAGAGCTATTGAAGCTAGAGCAAATGATGATGAGTGATGAGTGATGAGTGAAGCATAGCTCTAGCTCTAGCCCCACTAAAGCTAACTGGAGCTAGGCGTTAACTATGATGTGATAGCTTGTCTAGACACGAAGCTAATTAGCTCAAATTTGTTAACTGTCAACCTCTCAAAACACGTGCTTTGAGGTCTCCAGAAAGTAATCGAAGTGAGCACTTGTGAGTAAGCAAAGTAGCTAAAATTTGTCAGCCTCTCAAGAGAGCCGGGTGGTCGGGAGACATGACTCAGCTGCAGGGGCGTCAAAGCAGCCGCGAGAGATGACTCAGCCGCGAGAGATGACTCATCCGCGTATTAAAGTTTTACTACAAAGTCGCAAGGTCTCATCTTCCAGCTCCCCAGATACTCCGCGCACTAAAGTTGCACTACAAAGTCGCCAGTTCTCAGCTTCCAGCTCCACAGATTGCTCCGCGTACTAAAAATGTACTAGAAAGTCGCCAGTTCTCAGCCTCCAGCTCCCCAGCCTACTCCGCGCACTAAAGTTGCACTACAGTCGCCAGTTCTCAGCCTCCAGCTCCACAGATTGCTCCGCGTACTAAAGTTGTACTACAACGTCGCCAGTTCTCATCTTCCAGCTCCACAGATTGCTCCGCGTACTACAGTTGTACTACAAAGCCGCCAGTTCTCAGCATCCAGCTCCCCAGATACTCCGCGTACTAAAGTTGCATTACAAAGTCGCCAGTTCTCTCCAGCTCCCCAGCCTACTCCGCGTACTAAAGTTGTACTACAAAGTCGCCAGTTCTCAGCCTGCAGCTCCCCAGATACTCCGCGTCCTAGAGTTCTACTACAAAGTCGCCAGTTCTCAGCTTTCTCAGCTTCCAGCTCCACAGATTGCTCCGCGTACTAAAGTTGCACTACAAAGTCTGCCAGTTCTCAGCTTCCAGCTCCCCAGGTTCCTCCGCGCACTACAGTTGCACTACAAAGTCGCCAGTTCTCAGCCTCCACCTCGCAAGAGTACTCCGCGTACTAAAGTTGCACTACAAAGTCGCCAGTTCTCAGCTTCCAGCTCCCCAGATGCTGTGCCTGCCACGAATTCTGCACCTCGAGATTCACAAAGTGCCGTGCCTGCCACGAAATCTGCACATGGAGGCTCGCAAAGTGCTGTGCCTGCCACGAAATCTGCACTTGGAGGTTCACAAAGTGCTGTGCCTGCCATGAAAATCTGCACATGGAGGTTCACAAAGTGCTGTGCCTGCCACGAACTCTGCACATGGAGGTTCACAAAGTGATGTGCCTGCCACGAAATCTGCACATGGAGGTTCACAAAGTGCTGTGCCTGCCACGAACTCTGCACATGGAGGTTGACAAAGTGCTGTGCCTGCCACGAAATCTGCACATGGAGGCTCACAAAGTGCTGTGCCTGCCGCGAAATCTGCACCTCGAAGTTCACAAAGTGCTGTGCCTGCCACGAATTCTGCACATGGAGGTTCAAAGTGCTGTGCCTGCCACGTAAACTGGAGCTAGAGCGGAGCTAACTGGAGCTAGAGCTATTGAAACTAGAGCTACTGGAGTATGATGAGTGGTGTATGATAAGTGGTGTATGATGAGTGGTGTATGATGAGTGGTGTATGATGAGTGGTTTATGATGTGATGAGTGGTGTATGATGAGTGGTGTATGATGAGTGGTGTATTGAACAGCTGTTGAATGTCCGTAACACGGAAGTTTTGCACACTAAACTTCCTTTGACTAGCGATGGCCTCCAACCTGGCCTAACTGCATTTGCACAAGCTGTTCTTGAATCACTGCAGGGACCTGTCATAGCTATGAGACTCCCTTAGGTGTGTCTGGCTCAAGAGATCTCGCCTGAAGTATGAGAATTGCCCGGGCTCATTGTAGCTCCGGCTAAGCCTGTTGTGGTCGGTGACTGTAAAGCTGTTGACTGCAAAGCTCCTGCGGTCGTTGACTGGACACATATGTGCTGCCCCTGTCTTGAAGTAACGTCTGCCAAACAATGACAATGCAAGGAAACATCGTAAAAATCCATCACTGCGGCATCGTCAGGATTTGCCAAGTGACTGGTGTAGTCCTCGTCGTTCAAATCCTAGGGCAACTTCGAGAATCCCCCACTAGGACAGGAAGAAGCAAAAAAAGAAATGCAACGACCTCATGTTCAATCAAACGATTGGTCGTGTCAAGAATGTGAACGAACTGTTCATCCTGGGCTCTGCCTCCTCCACAAATGACCATTGATAATTCACAGGAAGCGGGTTGGGGTTGCCCATGGTGACAGTCAGTTGCTTGGTCGTCTCATTCAACACCTCACGGCTTTGAAGCACCGGAAGCTCCGGTGCAAGACAGAGCAGTCTCAAAAGGACGAGTCGAACAACAGGAAAAGCCTGACCGCCGTACTTGCAGCCCAAATATGCGCGTAGTAGTTCTTGCTAAAGCCCCTTCTGCGATTGCTTGCACATGCTTGCGCCACTCTTGAATTGCACTCTCACTCACTCTCGTTCCTTCTCGTCTTCCCATCTTCCCCACCCAACATACCGAGGAACAGAGCCGAAGTCAAGCTTGTTGGTGCCTGGGGCGAAATAGAGGGGCCGAGAACGATTTTTCAGTGGATTGGTCCGGATCAAGTGGTGGGCCTGATCGGGTCGATGTGTTTGGCCATCGGCTCCATGATAAACCAGATGTCTGTCGACTACCAAGAAGGCCCACGACATACTTACTTTAACGTTTGGCTGGCGGTGTGCTTCATTTGATGCCAGGGGCATGGACTACGCTACGCTCCTGTTTATCATGTTTATCATTTTTGAAAAGCTGAACATATTTTAATATGATTGAATCAGTCGGTCGTCATTTAGGAGGTTCTTTGGTCCTGAAGACAAGGCCACATTGTTCTAGCTGGGACCCCTCGTTGAACGAGGTATATAATTTACGAAAACCTTAAAAACGCTCCAGGGCATACTCTCCATCCAGGAGCAAGGACGCTACTAGGCTCCTGGCATCGCTACGAACGGAGCAGTAACAAAATGCTACTCTGAATCCCGTCTTGGCCCGAACCGCACAGCATGCCGTTCGGGCCTAGTGGGAGCACTCAACTGCCGTTTGGGCCAAGCTGCTGAGCGTCAAGTTCGGGAAAATCACCTCACCAATGAGGCCAACGTGGTCCCTCTGCGGATGGTCCTGGCATTTTTTGGAGTGGGCTCCAGGTCTTGGCATGTCTTAGCCCGTGCAGTGATAGGAGTGGAGTGACCCAGACTATCCTAGCAATGGCGGTCCAACATATTGGCAGAAATGATGTCATGAGTTGCCCTAGCAAAGTAGTGACGGCATGTTCATGGGTCTTCCTGACAAGCGATGAGGTGACACCCATTGCAAGCAGCCAGCACATTCTAAGGTCGGCTCCTGGTAGACGATACTAAGCTTCTGCTTCACTGTTCCACAAACTCTGTCGACCTTGAAGGCTGGATCAAACTCCACCCGGATCCTCAGCCACTAATCAAGAATCAGATTCACGTCATATCAAGACTCAGTTTCTCTTTCTATCGCTAAGTACTCAGTGCAATGCTCAACGTTCTCATCCGGTCTGAGGAAGACGGTATCAACATTCACATAGAACGGCCTTGCATGGGGCCAGGATGGGCCAGGCTTCAATGGCAGCGAGATGGTCGACACAAAATGTCTGAAAACAAATGTTGCATCTGAACCTGAGCAGGCGTTCATAGTGTCAACCCCTACTTATCGCATTCGATTCCACACAACTCAGTATTAGCTCTGAATCCATCGCTTGTCCATCCTCTCATTCGGCCAGTTGATCCAAGTTTCGGCTGGACCTTGATGAAGAAACGGACCTGACAAAGGGTTCTCTGGGTCCGCTGAGGCTCGCGGCAGCATCTCGATCTCGACATGACAGGACTTTGTTTTCCGGGCAATTGGTCCGAATCCATGGTGAAACTTGGCAGGAAAGCCCAACTCCAGGCCGCCTCTAAGTCCAGAAGCTTGGGAAAACGTGGAGGGAAAGGGAAGATGGAAGATCCACACCCGAAGCCATCCCAAGCCATCCCCAAGGCCGGAAACATGCAACGAGTGTGGCATCATTCCCGAGAAGCGCTCAATGAAAAGTGGGCTGAAGCCCTGCATCCTCTTTGGCCTCCGTGTATGGGCTCTCTTCCATTTCTTCGCTCTCATCGAAATCCTGCCACGGTCCACGTGCTGGCCCTCCTTTCCCAAGCGGATTGGTATACGGAGACCACGGACCGTGGTTCAAAGGATAGCCTTAGCAAGCAGGAGACGCCGATCGTGGCAAATCTCCACTCTCCCCCGTTCCCCCTTGCAACCAAATGTGCAAAATATCCTTCCCCTTGTGTGTGTGTGACACGTTTGTGCATGTTGCAGCCAATGCCGCACTCAAAAATTGCTCTCTTTGCCTTTGGTTCTCCGGCAACGTTTCCCATGCAAAGCAAGGTGCCATTGGGCATACGAAGCTTTGGTGTCCAAAGGCCATTGCGCGGTCGCTGCTTGCGCTCCCAATGCAAGTGTTTGGCCAGACCGGTGCGCTCCAAAATGGCCTCAAACCTGTGCATCTGGCAGCTTCATTCTGACGAGGCGGGAACGCTTCTGGGGTGGAAACCGTTATAAACCAGGGGTGATGGGACAAATTGAACGCATGATTCCTTCCAGTCACCTTGTGGCATGCCTTGGACTAGAAGGCTCTTGGTGCAAGCAGGTTGGGTGAGGATGCAACATAAACTGGATATAGGGGATCACGACTGGATGGCATTTTTACCCCTGCACTAGTAGATGGAAATGGAGGGTTGGTTTACTCCTACCGAGACCCAGGAGTAGTTCGAGACTGCCATCTATCTGTTGCTGAAAAGCAGGATCGGTTTCAGCAATGTTCTTCTGCATGTTTGCATTTTTTGTAAAGGGGTCAGTGATGGGGGTTGGAGCAAGCAGCTGGGATACGAAATGTGCACCCAAGGTATGTGTTCCTCTTCATCATCGACCATGGTAGCCTTTGAGACGCAGCCAAACATTGCCGTGACGGACACCAAATGCCATCAACAAGTGCACATTCTTACAAAACGACATCCAACGATCCAATCAAATCAAGCGACATTTGCTTACAATTTTTGCAATGCTAATGCTTTTGAGCTCTATTTGCAGTGTATGCCATCTACATGTTCCACATGTTTGTAGCGCGGGGGTAGGTGGCATGGAAGTAACCTAAACCACAACAGGATGGCATATTATAGGGCGCCTCCTCACGCCATTGATGCTCTCACATGTGGATACCCCGTGATTCTCGTTGCATGCTGGTTATCATTCTATGGCTTGTGCTGTACATGCCCACGCCTGTCACGAACCTTCTCTCGAGAACCCATACGCCGCTCAGCGAACTTCAGGGCCCGGTGCAATTTCCTTGGCAAGGAAATCGGATGATTTTTGGCGAAACCATCCTGGCATAGGCTCCTTCGCCAAGCCAGAGAGAAAACAAAAAAACACCACAGAGGTTTAAGTTGGTTTTAAAAAATATTGAGATCCGCAGCCGATGCTGCCATCGTATCTGTAGGATTTCGGTGGGTTGGATAACTCGAGCTCAACATGCTATATAAGGAATGCACAAACTTTATGTCAGTTGACCTCGAAAAATCTCGAACGGCGAGCAGCTTTGTTTGTTCGCAGACTTTCTCTTCTCTTCTTGTGTGCTATGGCTTTGGCATGTTATCACCTGGTTTGGTTTGGAATCGCTGTCAGTTGACCTCGGGAAATGACGGGAAGGATGGCCAGCAGGACCAACACCGGACACAAAGCAACCATATCTAGCGGATCCCCTCTCTCCTATTTCAGCGTGGCCTACCGTCGACCTTGGCAAAGCATTGTTCAACCTATAGGGAGGTCGGGAAGTCACGAAGCGCTTTCTATATTATTTCTAATAGCTTCTTGTTACTACTAGTAAGGCACTTGTTACTAGAAGCGATGCACTTGTTACTAGTAGCTTCTTGTTACTACCAGTAAGGCACTTGTTTCTACTAGCGTCCCTTGTTGCCTTTCTTCCGTTTCTACTAGCTATGGCCACCCTAAGAGCGATGGCCTCCAACCTGCTTGCATCTGCTTGCGATGGCCTCCAACCTAATCGCGATGGACTCCAACCCAATAGCGATGGCCTCCAAATAGCTCCCACAATTACACAACTAGGGTGAACAGGGTGTTGGCGGCAGTGGCCTTTAATGTCAGTCCAGGCCAAGTGCCCAGCCAGAAGAAGCGTTTCAAGAAAAAAGTCCTCCACAGCTCATATACAGTACATCTTTTTGGATATGATTCGCAAGTCGCAGAATGCTAATTTCATACTCAAGCCACGGATCTCCATTGATACTTACATTCCCACATGATAATCATGATAGAAATCACAGCGATACAGGCCGAGGGTTGAAAGTATTACGAGGGTATGGCATAATGTGTAGGTCTTCGTCTGTCAACATCAGTCAACAACATCAAGAAGCGCGAGAAGGCGGGTTGGATCTTCCGAAATTAGGTTACCTGCACGAAAGGGGGTTCTTTCAGAAAGCTGGCTGGCTCCGGTTCTCGGCTTTCTCATGCTTTCTCTGCCGCACCACGCGCCAACTCGCCAGAATGACGCACATACAACCGTATGTGAAAAATGAAAAACAACCGATGTTCAATGCATTTCACACGGCCAGAGCGTCCATCCCAGTGCCAGCAGCTCTGGCCGTTCCGCCACTATCTCACGCACCTCTTCAGCACCTTAGACAGGTTCTTGATCGGGGCAGGTAACAACTAAAAAAACAATCCGTACTCCGCTGCTCCACCACAAATCCAAAAACAAGCGACTCACCAGCCCTAGGACATGGACCGTTTCTGGATGATGCCCTCTTGCATTCAAGGGATCGGATCGACCTGACGATCAGTTGCAGCTTGGGAGCCGAAGAGGTGTTCCATAGCTTCGAAAGCAAGCTCGAACTTCCTGGACTTCCTCCTGGGCGATCGCACGGCATCTCACCTGTTCTGGGCTTGCACCTGGGACCATTACCATCGCACATGCGTGCAGTATATTGGGGTGGAGGCCATCGCAAGTAGGTTGGAGGCCATCGCTATTAGAAACAAGGACATAAGAAAAGGAAGACAGGTCTAATATAGTTTGCTATTAGGTTGGAGGCCATCCACCTTTCATGGCACGACGCTTGAATCATTTTCTCGAGCACTGGGGGGCTCTCAAGTTTCTTGGCTGGTGAATTTGGCACAACGTTCCAAACCATTCTTTCGAATACACATAGGTGGAGGCACTTGTGGCCACCATTCAGCAGCCTACACACTTTACATCTTAGGATTCCATTTAAACTACATGTTGCGATCATTGCATATGATGACGTTCCTGTCTCTGCCTGCAGGACCTCGACTTTTCAGACAGAGAGGTGAGGCGGTGGGGGCCTAACCCAGAACTTGAGTGGTCAAACTTCATGTCAACCATGGAGCTGCCAAGAACCGACTAGAAATCCTCCAACTCAGAAGCCATTTCTGCAAATCGCGAAGCTTCTTTTGAGTCAAGTTGCTGGTTCTCCTCGAGGAGCAAATAAGGAGCTTTGCGAACTGCAGCTTGCGCCCCCTCCTTCCCAAGCAGACTTCTCAATGTGCCCAAACGACCCAGGAAGTTCTCGCCTTAAGAAGCTCACGCTTCTCAATGTGCGGAGACATGAAACTCTTCTAGCCTAACTCCAACCCAATAGCGATAGCCTCCAACCTACTAGACATGAAACTTTCATGATGACACTCTTGAAACAACTGCCATACCTTGGAGTCCTTTGCAGACCGATCACGGTCAGTGCTTCGTCAACCGAGCAGTCGAGCTGAGAGTAAAAGGAAAGGTTGCTGATGGGTCTCATGGCTGCTGGCCAGTCACCGTACCACTTCAACAGCAGGGGCTCCCTCTCGATCGCCATGTGCGCCTCCATTAAGAAAAAAGTAAGCCATACACGACTGTGAGCTGCTGATATTGTTGAAGCTTCTTGAATGTCCAAAAGGTTACTGCATGTAGCTACCATTCGTTGATCATTTCCCACCGTCAGGCCTCTTCCAAGCCGCCAAAGATGGCAATCAGCACCTGGGCAAACTGCAAGATGCAGAACATGTTGTGAGGGCATTGTGACAAAGCGCTAGAAGCAAACAAGAGAAGTTGACCAGGGGTCCTCCACATGTTAAGCCCACAGCTTACTTGAGTCACTTGTGAATGAGCGCGGCATCAGGTTGACAATGATGCTTTGCGTTCTCATTTCATGTCGCCATAACAATCCAAGATACCGGGTAGCATCCCGGCACAGCAGAGATATACGGAGAGCGTGCCACACGCTCCATGGCCTCCTTGGCCACCTCTAAGGCAGCTTCTCGGTTCCCCATCACCGCCGTCATATCACCCACGGCCTGCCATCTTGGGCCCTGAAACCATCTTGGTCAAACCACCTAGGAGCAAGGACGCTACTAGTAGCAAAGGGCATCGCTACTAGGAGCAAGGACGCTACTAGGGGCTCCTGGCA